TGTAAGGAATTGATTTAAGGCACTTCCTCTCCTTCCTAATCTAATAGGGGAGAGGTGCTGTTAGAAGAGGACCAGACTGTCATGGAAAAGCTCTGGTGGGTCAAGTCAGCTAGGTCAGCATTCTGTTTCCAGCAGTGGCCAAAGCATATTCTTTTGTGGGGAAGTGCCTAAGTAGTGTACTAAGGTGGTGGCAGCAATGCATACAGTTTAGAGGTGTGCTTTTTGTGACCATGGAGGGTGACAGAACAAGGAGGAGCAAGGATACCTCCTGTTCAGAATGCTTTCTCATTTTTCTAGTAATTCTCCAAAACCAAATACCGTCGTGCCCCGCTTTACGATTACCCTAACGACGAATCCGCTTGATGGTGAGGTTTTTGCGATCGCTTTATATTCTTTTGTGGGGAAGTGCCTAAGTAGTGTACTAAGGTGGTGGCAGCAATGCATACAGTTTAGAGGTGTGCTTTTTGTGACCATGGAGGTTGACAGAACAAGGAGGAGCAAGGGTACTTCCTGTTCAGAATGCTTTCTCATTTTGCTAGTAATTCTCCAAAACCAAATACAGTCGTGCCCCGCTTTACGATTACGCTGTTTAATGACGGATCCGCTTGACGGTGAGGTTTTTGCGATTGCTTTTGTGATTGCAAAACAATGGTTTGAATGGGGTTTTTCTGCTTAGCAATGATCGGTTCCCTGCTTCGGGAACCGATTTTTGCTTTACGACGATCAAAAACAGCTGATTGTCGGGTTTCAAAATGACCACCAGCTGAAGAAAATGGCCCCCGCTGTGCTTAGGGACGGATTCCTCGCTACACAGGCATGGAAAATGGCCGCCCCTATGGAGGATCTTCGCTGGATGGTGAGTTTTCAGCCCATTGGACCACATTAACCAGGTTTTAATGCATTTCAATGGGCTTTATTTCGTTTGAAGATGTTTTTGCTCTACAGCGATTTCGCTGGAACAAATTAACATTGTCAAGCGAGGCACCACTGTATGACTGCAGCAGTCATGAGATGGTTCTTTAAAAAAAAAGGAATAATAATAATAAGGCAGCTTGAAGACTGGGTGTGGTTCCTATCTTGAAGTCTAGCATAATTATCTAAGGTAACTGGATTTAGATAGCAGTATTGTAAATGAAGTGAAATCCTGATTCGCCCAGAAGGGGTGGTGGAGGAGAAAGGATTCTGACGAATTTTCTTTCTTTTTCCAAACTGCCACTCTTGGCTTTCCAAAAATGGAAGCCATCCTCCTACTTAAAAGCTACAGTGAAAGGGGGAGGGTGTTTGGAAAGTGACAGGATGGTGCCAAGTAATACAACCTCCTGCTTGCTTGACCTCCCCCAAGAAACTCTTTGTTCTCTGACAGAGTACAAGTACTATTAGTGAAAATTAGACATTCTGGCATGCAAACAAAAAGAGTTAGACTGGTGGAACTGGCTCTCTAAATTGGTGTACAGGTAAAGCCACTTCTGTTTCCCAGTGTTTGAAGAGGAGGCAGTCCTACAGCAGCCACAACTTACTTTTCTGACTTAGGTTAATTGGCAGAGCCTCTTGTGCAGTGTAATTAACTCACTCTGGACTGGGAACTTGCACTATAATTATGGCAATGAAAGACTTGTTCCAGGCTGCACTTTACCACACAATAAAGGCTAAACAATAGCAAGGAAACAAACTGGATTTTACTGACATCTTAAACAGCCAGCTGAGGGATATCTGTGCCCAGCCAGAATTTGTTATGTTATTGAGTTGCCTGTCTCTTGCCTTACAGTTGTATAAAATGACTCAAGGGAAGATATTAGGCAGGGTACAAACAGAACAAAGCCCATTCAGAAGAACCAGAATAGCTAGACCTCAGACAAGACTGGGCAATTCAAGAAATAAAGACTCACAGTGTTGATACAATAATTTGGTAGGCAAACGAGGATAATGTAAGTATGTTTAGTTGCACAAATTGTCTCTTGCTCCACATTTGGAGAATTAACTTGCTATAGTAAATCTCTGCCCCTGTTTTTGGCTATTAAAAATATTTCGAGGATAGCTTTTAAAAACTTATGATGAGTTGTGAGAAGTGTTATATCTTCAGATTCTAACTTGCTTGTAGCACACATAACACTAGACCCATGCCTATTAAAACTGAGAAAGTGGACATGTCCACAAAAGCTCGTATTAAAATATAGCAGTTAAGTCTTTAAGGTGCCACAAAATTTTTATCTTCTTTATTTTTTCTTTTTCTTTTACATTAAAATTCAGTCACCATATAGCACCTAATCCGAGGTTTCATGTGCATAGTTGACTGGAGTTGTGGTTAACACATTATTGGATGGTTACACTTTTCTGGAATTGTTGTTAATATTTTACTGGATCATCATGTTTTTCCTGTTTATTTTTTTAAATAACAACCTCTTCGCTCTTAAAGTAATAAATGCCAATATGTTATAGAGAAAATTAAATGGGAACAGGATGTGGGAAAACCCTTCACAACACCTGATGGTTTGGGAAGCTCACCCTGTTACAAGAACAAGAAGTGTTATAAATGTACAAGAATGTCCTTGGTTTTTTTATTGGTGAAATGCTACTTGCTTGAATTGCACTTACTTATTGTTGTGCACTGGATTTATAGCTGACTTTTCTACCAAAAATACAGGTAGAACTATAGAAAATCTTATTGTTAAAACATACTGTAATTAAACAAATTGTAATGTTAAAACAAACTATTTAAAAAAGCTGGTTAAATACACATCAGTGAGTACAGCACCTCCTATCTCTGTAGCCAGTCTATTGCCGAAATGCCACTTGAATCAGAAGGTCTTTGCCTGCCAGCAGAAAGAGAACAGGGATGGGGCAACCTAGCCAGGAAGCAGCCAGCCACTCAGAAGGGACACTCTTGTGTCTCCACTGTACATGCCTCTGAAGATTGGGGTGGGGTGGGGAGAATCTGAAAAAATGCAGTCTTTCACACAGTCAGTTGTGATGCAAATTGTTTCTATGTAGAATTCATACTAAAACATAAAAGGAAGTGAAATACAAGAACAAGGAACGTAGCTTCTTAATTTCTGGTAAAATGAAAGTTCACGAAGGACTGAAATATCATTTTAGAAGTGGCTACCATGGTTAGGAAAAACCAAACAGGAGATAATTCCACATGGATTTTTCTACTTGTGCTATCTGGATACAGATGCACTGATCTTATATACCTTGCCGTTATTGGTGTGTACATACAGTATTTCGATATGTCATACCACCTATTTTGCCTATATATTGATATGTCATACCACCTATTTTGCCTATATACAGTACTTTCATTTGGTGTAGCACATTTATATCCTGCCATCATGCAACACAAAGTAGTTTGTGTAGAGTTTCCAAGTATCTTTTCATTGTGACATTAACAAGAACGAAACATCTTTTGCTTCAGCAAGGTGTCCAAGTGCCTTGATTGTTGACACCATAAACTTAAGAGTTGTACATCTCACACAAAGAGAGTCAGAGATGATGAAATGACAGATAATGCAGTACTGCTTCATATTTCAGGTGAAGAGATTGTATTTTTGCATAGCCATTTGTGTGAAAAATTCCCCAAGTGTACTGAACTGGCACAGAAGCTATAAAGGTTTGCTGATTTCTACTTAAAATGGGATTTGAGAGGCAGTCATCCATAGCCTTTCCTATCACTTCTTGTCTTATACAAAACATCTGTATTAACAGGCAATATTTGGTCTGTTATCTTGTTTACACTAAGCCCTTTGCATTTAATTTTGAAGAACTTTGATATCTTATTGTAATTTCAGCTCTTCCTTGACCTTGCAATTTAGTGTTCCCTAAGATTCCTTGATGTCTCTCAAAAATGCAGCTATGTTAATTTATATTTTGAAATTTAGAAGCAAATGGGCATTTCTCCATAGCATTATTCATTGCTTTCAGTGAATTTACTTAGGAGTATTATACTGACAAGGGTACTTTCCTTTCCTTGTAAATTCCCAGTTTTATAATTTCTAGTTAGAAAACATATTTGTGCAAAGATAAGTGAACTTTCTGTATCTAACTGATACAGACCTGATTCGGATGCCAAGATTGAATGAGCCGTAAGTTCATGGGTTTCTCCCACCCATCCCATACATACATAAAGGGGAGGGTGAAAGCTTTTTAACAGTTTCCCCTCCCATAGCTTATAGTTTTGTATAAATTTAGCAAACAGCAGATATGCAGGATACCAAACCACACTATCAAGCACAAACAAACTTCTCCTGGAGGCATCCTTTCTCCAAATGCAAAAATGGAAGCATTTATTCTCAACTTTTTGCAAGTGGAAAAGCAGTTGAACTTGTGGTTCATTGCAGCAACCCGACCAGCTTATACCAGTGGTTCCTAACCTTTTTTGAGTGACAGCCTCCCTTTATAATAGCCAAGTAACCGGTGACCCCAGTGCCATATTTGCGTAAATAGGCTGTCATCGTTCCGTTCTCTGACATGGCAGCACCATCGGTGTTTGTGCTGCTTGCTGCCGTACAGCTCCTGTTGTTGACTCTGTCACCACCACTTCAAAACTGGGAAGGGAACAGGCTGGGTGTGGTCAAAGATATGCAGAAGGAGGTGGCAAAGGACTTCAAGGATGGGCCAGTGGGGGGAAGGACATTGTTAAGTGCAGTTAACTTTGATTTGATACAGTACCTGACTTAACAGGCCTTAGTTTGCAACTGATTAGCAAACTAAAATTAGACACTGTGACTTTAGGTGGAATCACAGTAACTATGGTTTGGCATAATGCCTCTATTGACAAACCAGCATTATAGCCATAGCGTTGCCTCCAAAGCTTGCAGCTGTACAGAGATAGCAATAAACGTGAATGCTAAGAAGAGGAAGCAAAAACAAACAACTGTCAATCGTGGTTCAACAGTTGCAATATTTTGGAAGATGGAACCGTGGTTTGACAGGATGCTTGAAATAAACCCTAAATTACATGTCAGAGATTTTAAAAAAGCTTTTTCTCTTTGTTCCTCTTGCAGTTCCCAACTCTGCTAAATGGTCACATCCCAATGCAAATTCCCAACTTGGATGGGACCTCATCACCAGTTCTCCTTTCTCCAAATGCTCATAAATCCTGATGTCTCAGCTAATTAAGGACTCGCTAACAAACTGGATTTAACACAGCCATTCTCATGGGTTTCACTTTTCTGATGATTGCAGGAGGACATGATGAAACCCTCTTATTATGGTTTGCACTTTTCATTACATGGAGGATCTACTTGTATGATGTTTATTTAGCATTTTTAAACAGTGTTTTTGTATAAGAAATCTGTTGTGCATTAAAATGAATTATAATTTTTATAGCCTTGCTCTCCAAGTGTTGAACACTGTTACTGAAGTATCTTTCTTAATAGATTTCAAAACAGTATCTAAAGGATGTGAAACGTTTAAATCTTATATTTCTGCATATTATGCCTCATGCTTGTGTAAACTATAACCGGCTGTGCCTTCTTTTGCATAATGTTATATAAATGATTTATATATTTCCAGTATTAAGATAAAGGCTGAAAAGGAAACAATTACTGAACAATCCCCCTTTTCTAGTATTTCAGTATTGCCTTTTGTGGTAGGCCAAACAGTGCTGTGTATTCATGTAATTTTGTGCTTTCCATTTATATAAAGATTCTTTCTATTTCCTTGCTAAACTGAGGCCGTAGTAAATGTTCTGGCCAGTAAGTGTGTTTAATAGGACACTATTTAGATGTAGGTGCTTGAACTCTTTTCTGAGGTAAGAGGAACGTGGTCTTAAAATATTTGCGACTTATGGGCATTGAAGGATGTAACCTTGCTCAGTACCATTTATTTTCATATAGCTGTGAAGTAGGCATCAAACTGATCCTTGTTTTCTTGACTCTGTTCAAGGTGATATTTTCACATATTGTATTCGCGAAGGCTTTCACGGCCGGGATCAAATGGTTGTTGTGGGTTTTTCGGGCTTCTTGGCCGTGTTCTGAAAGTTCTTCAGAGGAAGATGCCAGCCACAGAGACTGGCGAAATGTTAGGAAGAACCACTCTCAGAACACGGCCAAGAAGCCCGAAAAACCCACAACAACCATTTTCACATATTGTTTGACCAAGAATCAAAAGTAAATGGTTCTAGTTTTGCAAAGCCAAAAAGGCTCTTTTAAGAAAAGATAAGCAATGTTGAGTATTTTTAAGAAGTGTTTAGAGCTATTTCAATTAAAACTGATATTATTTTAATATGATAAGAACCTGTCAAGAGCCAGAAATCAAATACACACTTTGATACCTAGAAAAATGCTTTCAGCCTCCCCCCCCCTGTACTAACCTGATACTGAACCACAATGATTTAAAAATGGCAGGGCTCTTGGTTTCTGTCACAGATTAGAACTCTGAAAGCAGAAGCACAGGGTTTGTCACATTCTAGCATACCACGATTGATTTCTTGAAGATAAAAATACAACACAAAAGCAGAATTAAATGTAGATGGTATTTTAAATGTAAAACCATTGTGTCCATCAGCTGTAACCTGGAAGGTGTTCAATGCATACATATTTAATAAACATGTTCTTTCACATATTTGCAAATATGTTTAAATATTCCAGTTGAATGGAGCACCGCAGCTGATATCACCTTTCCAAAGTTCCTTTGGGAATTCATATGAATTATACTGTTGTTCTGCACACAGCCTCATTTTGGTCAATCAGTCTAGTTTGAAAAGTACAGTACTTCATTTCAATGATGCAGAAAGATCTAGATACTGTGGTACTCTAGACTGAAGCTTTGAATAAAAATTAGATGCCTCTGGTTTTCCCCATTGTGAAACAGAAAGCTGTTTTTAGAAAAGAAAGAAAAATTAAACACCAATGTGCTACAATTGATTCTCGCTGTGTTTCACATGCTGAAGACCCTGCCAACAATTCCTTCAACAGTTTGTGGTATTTGAAGAGCACTGATTCTCCCTTGCCCTAGTTTTCAGTTTTACAGCATTATGTTCACCATTCTCTCCTCTCAGGTTTGTAAGACTTCAGATTCTTTGTGTGGAAAAGATACTAATTGCTAAACATATTCTTTCCCTTATACATTGGCAGCTTTTTGGGTCTCCATAACTGTATCTGTATTTTATACAGTGAACCAATGAGTGCCTTAGAATGCTTCCCTTCCTTCTGGATGTATTTCCCATTGCATCCCCAAATTTAATTCCAGTATTGTGATTCCTTCTTTAACCAGGAACCAAAACAGCTGGACGACAGAAGATTGTTAACGTAATAATCTTGCTACTATGTGTTTCCACCTGGGAAGTTGATGGACATTGATTTTAAAAAAAAACCCTTTACTATAAGATTAAGAACAAACATAAAAGCTGTGGCCTAAAGTTTGATTTCAAACTTGCAGAGAAAGTAGTATTGTTGTGCTGGAACACACCTTTGCAGAAGCAGTAGCCCAAGTAGCTCTTCAAACATGCATTTCCACCCTTGGAAGTATTCTGTAAAAGTATGTTTGCTCCTACAACAGACTCTGCACTGTTGCAATGACACTGCTGGATACAGGTGCACATTTTACTGTCTGGTTCTATAAAACAAGAACTTGGCAACTATAACATGAAAAATATACTAGAGGGGATAAGGAAAAATAATTCCTTCGTTAATCATCATTGTCATAATGTGCCATCAAGTCAATTCTGACTTATGGGGAACCTCTTCTGAGTTTTCCAGGTGGAAAATTCTCATAAGTGATGTAAGATGCCCTTCTTCAGGTGGCGTCCTGGAAGCAAGGCTGCACAGGCTGGCTGTATTAATAGGAGGCACAGTGAGGAGTCAAACTCCCAAATTCTCGCTCAGCATTGAGATATTTAAAGCACTGAGCTATCCAGCCAGATAACTGCTTAGAAAAAGAAATTTAAAACAAGATCCAAACTATTCTATATCAAAGAGAATTGCATACTCAATAGTTTGCAAATGCTAATGGACACTATGAAATATTCTTATACAGTGGTGCCCTGCATGATGACGATAATCCGTTCCGGGAAAATCGCTGTTAAGCGAAATTGTCATTATGTGAAAAACAATTCCCCATTGGAATGCATTGAAACCCATTTAATGTGTTCCAATGGGGAAATTACCTCGTCGTCCAGCGAAGATCGCCCATAGGGGAAGCCATTTTCCGAGTGCTGATTAGCTGTTAAAATGGCTGCCCTGCGAAGCATGGGTCCGGAAAACACAGGGCAGCCATTTTATGTACCCGACGATCAGCTGTAAAGATCGTCGTCTTGCGAATAAACGGTCCGCGAAGCATGGACCTAATCGACGTCCAGCAGAATTCCCCCATAGAAATGACTATTTTGTGAATCGCTATAGCAATCGCAAAAAGTCACCGTCCTGTAGATTCGTCATACAGTGGAGTCGTCGTCTAGCGAGGTACCACTATATATATAAAAATCAGATGATAGAAGGTGAAACATACTAGAAGATTGTACATGTAACAGTTTGTACTATGTTTTATACATAGTTTGGGGAAGGCAACATATAAATGTTACACAAAAAAATCAGTCCTCAGTTCATATATTTATAGATCACACATATTCTGTGTTTGTAGCAAAGTCTAGCAAAAAGGAATCAAGATGAATTAAATCATTTTGGCTGTGTTTTAATTATACACCAGTGATATGCAATTAAAATGTGGTTGTTAAGATTTTCATCAAATTAGTTAACATCAGAGAGAGCCTTTTGATTTGTTTACATAGGACCAAGGATGCCACTTTATTTTACAAACAATAGAGATCCTCTATAACTAACTAGATCTATGGGCAGACATCCTGTTGAACAAGTTATGCAAGTGGTATAACCTCTGGAGGTAGATGGCAACAAGTTAAGAAATCTCTATAGGCATTATCCGTTGCATACCAAGTACAGCGGTACCTTGCAAGACGATTACCCCGCAAAATGACGAATCCGCTTCAGGTGAGGTTTTGCGATCGCCATTGCGCTTCGGAAAACAGTGTTTCCTATGGGCGTTTTCCACTGGACGATGTTTCGGTCAATGCTTTGCAAGATAGGTTTTTTTTGGGGGGGGGACATGCTTTGCAAGACGACAATTTTTACAGCTGATTCGTGGCTCTGCAAAATGGCTTCCCGATGGGTGATCTTTGCAAAACGGGTGTTTTCGGGACTGATGCTTTGCAAGACAGCGATTCTAACAGCTGATCGGCGCTTCGCAAAATGGCTTCCCTATGGGCGATTTTCGCAAAACGATGACTATTTTCCCCATTGGAATGCATTAAACGGATTTCAAGGCATTCCAATGGGGAAACACTTTTCGCAAGACGATGTTTTAGCTAAACAGCGATTTCAATCGAACGGATTATCATCGTCTTGCAGGGCACCACTGTAGTTCACTTCTGCATGCAATAGATAATTACCTTAAAAGCAGTTCATATTTAATTCACAAAAGCATTTCAGTCATAGATTCATACTGCCATCAGTATAATACCATAAGTCCTGCCAAAGACAGAAAAACATCCAACAATAAGGGAAACACACTAAAAATTGTCCCCTCCTGCATAAAATACTAGTGACATGAACAATTACTATTCAGCTTATTGCTTTTCATATATATCTGGGGACTTTCCAAAAGCCCATGAATGTCACGTGGATGCCACATCTTGGTTTCTAAAGCCGCATACTATCATACTGAAGGATGTGCAATTTTTCAACAAAATCAATCCATCCCAGCAATGCAACGGCAGTCTGAAATGTCAGCTGACTTGCTAGCGACACTGTTTTCTTTGCATACATCTATAGATAATGCCCACAGGTGACAAGGAAGATTGCAGAATTCTGTATGATTTGTAAACACATGCTATAAGATGAATGAGCACAAGCACTCAGTTTCACACAGCAGTGTAATTTCTGGATGTACCCTGGAATTTTTTGGCTTCTTGCACATAACCTGTGTAATACTTGCCTCTTTAAATAATGAAATATACATTTCTGTGTATTTGGTGGGCGAAATGCCAAAGTACGCAGAGTAGTCCTTGTTCCTGAATAGGGATGAGATGTCTACCTTCAGTTAAGTATGCAAGGAGACAGAAACAAAAGGCTTGAGCGAACATATTATGGACATCATCCTCCATGCAGTGGACATCTTGCCAAAGTACAGAAACACTTTTTTTCCTCAAAAAAATGGTCAAAGCCCTCGTCTGAGCCCAATCCACATGTGTTTTGTGCCTAGGAGGGGCAGCGAAACAAACATTTGTTCACAGCAATTTCTTGCAAAACTTTTCCTATGCAGTCTGCCATTAAAGGCATCATGTGAGTGACATGAATTAAGATTACATTGTGACACAGAAAATATTAAGAAAAGGCAAAACACATGAGAATAGGAAAATTTGCTTATGATTGTGAACTGCATTCTTTAAAAGCATTCCAATGATTAGTGCAATGGACTGAGCAAGGTACCAATGGGCCAAAAATACCATAAAACAATACTGCTTTTCCAGTACAAATGTCCTCTGAACCTGAAAAATCCTTTGATTGTTTTAATTCACTCTTTGCATTTGTAAATGTTGGAATTTTCTTCAAGCTACTTACTTAACCTACCTCACAGGGCTGTTGTGAGGCTCAGTGATATTTTGTACAATGCTTTAGAAAGAAATTTAGAAGATTACCGTACATACAAGACAAGTAGCTTTATATTATGGACAAAGCTGAGTCTAGCCACTACATGAAAACCAAGGATTGTTATGTACAGGTCAGGAATTCTTAACAGGGTCTTGAATAACTGAAATGTACCCTTAGGTAATACTTTATACTGTATTATTACTTTGTATATAATAATAATCTCATTCCTTTCTCTACTAGCTGTGAGGATTTTTGTTTTGTTGTAAATCAACAGATATGATCACAGTGCATTCAAAATTCCAGTTGAAATTCCAAATATGGGAATTTCTACCAAGAGGGTTGGATCCAGATTTATTGTGAATGGAACTTGCT